ACACAGAAGTAACATGAAGTTTAATTTGTTTCAGTTTATCATGTATAAATCTTTAGTGAGAACCATGGTGGATATACAAGTGTAAATGTATTGTCATCAATAATGAAATAAATGTTCAAACTGCTGGACAGAAAGTGCTGATGGTATAATTGATGTGAGTACATCTACAAATCATAACACACAGGTGACACTTCCAGGATTTGGCAGCTGATAATGAAAGATACCCAAGAAATGGTTTGCAGGATTTGGGGACTTTAGAGCACTTAAAGACAAATCACACTCAGGGTAATCATTTGAGCTTCAGTATCCCCATGAGCATTAGGGTTGATGCTTGTGAATTCCCATCTAAGATCAGAGCCTTGTCTAGTCTGAATGGTGGCCCTAGGGCTTTTTGAGTAGGGCAAGTAGAATTTGAACTTTTCTCTGAAGCATTGTAACAAGAACGTCATTGAAATAAAGGATACCTTTTGCTAGGGCTATATTGATTAATGAGGCCTTTTGGGGGGATTGCATCAAGCCAGAGAGTTTCAATGCAATGATGTTAGAGGCATCACTCATCTATTTAAAATATTGTTTTCTGTTTTGGAATTAAAATAAAACAAATTCTATGCAAAAAGCTGGAATCAGTGCAAAATTAAAGTGTGAACTGCAGCCAACAGGAGCTGTGACCGAACCTGTGGGGACACAGGTAAATGAAGCGTCTGGCAGCCGTGTCTAGCTCACAGGGCTGCTTATTGTGCACCTCTAGGGTAGACCATGTTAAAGAGCACCAAGGAGCCTTTGGTGTGTTCCATCAGAGGCTACACATACCAGTAAATACACAACATGTTAGAGTATTTTAGAAACAGCAATCTCATAAGGTGTCTATATAAGCCCTAAGTGACATGCCCACAGTTGCACAGAATATATATGACAAAGCACGAATTTGAACATGGGCCTCCAATGGCCCAGGCTACCACTGAACCATTAGACCATGCTTCCTCCCAGTGATGTATTAAATTATAATGCACAACACGGAGCATTGTAACAAACTGTCAGAGTTTCAATACCTAGAAGCTTTTAGATAATAACATTCTGTGTCTGACAAAATTAACACAAACGTAACAAAGGAATATGTCACAGCACTTCATGCACCAACGTGACATAGCAGTGAAGCAAAAGCCTACTTAAAATGTATGAACTGAATGAATTTAAAAGTAACAGAATAATTTCTCCCATTAGATAGCTATTTATATTTCCCATTATAATCAATGAGCCCTGCAGGTGTAATTTGACTGAAAGTAATTTTAAACTATATTTGTATGCACATTCTTTTTCTGTTTTGATTCTCTTTCCAGCTGAGGTCTACCCCAGAATGTACCACACGTGTTTTTTTCTGATAACATATGTGGCACCACTGTGTCTTATGGTATTGGCCTATTTACAAATATTTCGAAAGCTATGGTGCCGCCAGGTAAGTCATTTATTTATTATGTTTGTCTGTTTGAATGAACAACCCTTTTCTCTAAAAATTCCATAATGCCACTGAGGTCCTGATCGCTAAACACTTTTGTATACAGTAAACTCTAGTAGCAGTTTTGGGTTTATAATTATGAAAGGCAAGGGTGCAAACTATTTCAGAAATGATGACAGTCAAGCAGAATGAAAAGCTGTTTGTGTTCAATCCTAGGGCAGCTGCCTATCAGATGGAGGATTTTAGGGGTCAGCAGAAGCAAAAGATCAATTAAGGGAAGAAGATGGCTCCCAGTGGTTCTGACTGAAGGTTCCTATTGCGAGTCAGTAGCCGTTGATCTCAGAGTTTGATTTTATACAGCTATTTTTATATCTCTCGGAGCTGCAGAGACAGTAGTGTAAGGCTACGTCTAGACTGCACTGCTTTTTTGGGATACTGGAGGTGTCCCGGAAAAGCAATGCCATATCCAACACGCACTATCGCCTTCCCTGTAAACCTCGTTTTACGAGGAATAAGGGTTGTGTTGAAAGAGCACTTTTTTTCTGAAATTTGGAAATTAGAATTTTGGAAAAAAACTCTTTCAACAGTAAAGAGAAAAAAGTGTTTCTTTTTCCAACTTACCATTGCAATGTAGATCTAGCCTAAGAATGAATCATGTGGACTCTATCAACACAAGAAATGGAGGAGGGGGGCTGTTAGTTGGCCCTGTTGTGTTGGGTTTTTTTAAAATCAGGTTAACACATTTTAAGATGTTTTATCTTATCCACACTGAAAACACATGTGAGGATGATCCTGATTTGAAAATTGATTATGTAGAAAGGCAAGCACCACCATATTGTTGCTTCTGCTGATGGAGAATTAGAGATATAAGTTTCCCAAGTATAGATGTAGTCAAAATGTAGAAGGAATCGTATTAAGAAAAATTAACACCACTTCCACTATTGACTGAATTGGCTTGCAGACATCAGGCATCCTTCTAAGTAAAGTATACCAAAATCTATTTTTAGTGTAACTGCATTATTCTGAATCTATTTGTCACTAATATCCCCAAACAAGGAATCCTGCCATTTATCAGAATGCCATCTAAATATTTTGACTTAGGTACCAATGGTATTGCTAGAGATATAAAATGAAATCCAAAGTACTAACAGTCAAAACATTGTTAGACCTTGAAAAAAACTTCTTGAAGCCATTTGTTTTAAAATTAGGACTGTTTCTAAAGTAAATCTTCAGGTGGTTAAATGCCTCCAGAAGTCATGAGACATCCAATTATGTTTTACCCTCTGTCCGTTCTCTGGGTTATTGATAATGTCTTCCTTCCTGGTCTTTGCAAACATGATTTTATCATCTCATAATTAGGATCTTTATGAAAGACTAAGGGCAACAGCATCGGAGGCCTGGCTTTCAGAGTAACCTACTTTTAGGGTTGCCAGGTGTCTGGTTTTGAACCAGACAGTCTGGTATTTGAGCTTTCGGTCCAGGAAACAAATTGAGAAAATACCGGACATATAAATGTCTTGTATTTTCTAATTAAGTATGTTTTATTATTGTCATGAGTATCAATATGTAGTTGCGTACTGCCTGGCTGGGAGACATGCTCACACTGCACAGTAGAGAGGAAGGGGGTGGGGCCAGGGTGGGATAGAATCCCTAGGGCTGGACTCGCCCGGGCACCCCGCCGGGACCGTGCACGGGATGGGCAGCACCCCGGGATCTGCGTGCGCCCGGGACAACCCCGCTCCCCACCAGCTGATTCTCTCCCCCAGCTCCTGCTTCCCACCGGCCGGTTCCCCTCCC